GGAGCTCTCTCCCATTTAGGGTAGAGAAAATTGAGTACTTGTAGTGCTGGGATTCTACTCTTCCCTAATTCCGTGCACTGCTGTAATAAAAAACTTAACTTCAGCATTTAATGATTCCTGGAGTCATATATTATTGATTTTACATAAGATTTATGTTAATTTCCCTCTAGCATTCATGTGTCTTTAACGAGCCAATCAGCACCTTTGAAAATAATTGATATACTGTACCTCCCATTCCTTTCCATACTTCAGAACTCAAGAGTGGTTGGATGAGTGTGTACTCATCCTCATCAGCACTCAAGAGTACCTAAACGACCTACCACTTCCTCCTCCCGTACTGGAACCTCAGGAGAAGAAATAGATGTTCACGGAGCTCTTTCCCGTTAATGGTAGAGAAGATTTAGTACTCTTCCCTAATTCCGTGCACTGCTGTAATAAAAAGCTTAATTTCAGCATTTAATGATTCCTGGAGTCATATATTATAAACATATATATAATAATTTCATGATTTCCATATATATATTCATGGATTGCATAATAAAAAGTGGAAGGATGGTAAGAAAATCTAATATTCTATCAGGAAAGCCAGTACTTAAAAATACACGTACACTTTGGTGACGTAAATGTAGGAACGTAAATTTTACGTAAACGTGATGTCATTTTCATGGCAATCGCAATAAATTTACATTGTTTACAAGGAATTGATATCTTGTTTACGTAAACATGCTGCTTGGGCTGACAGCTACCTGGATAACATGAAACGTACAAAGAACCTGGGCCAAGTGCAAATGTTGGAAAAAACTTTCATATTGATCTGTGCACTCATGATGAATAAAGCAGTTTTAAATCCTATGATTGCCAATGGACTACCTGAAGATAAACAGTAGTAAAAATTGAGCAACAGTGAACAGTCGAAGCATATCTTTAAACACAAGATTCCTTTGGCACATGAATTAGATTGGTCCAGGGTTCTACTAGGATCTCATGCACTTGTTGGATGCACAGTTTCATTCTGTTGGGAAAGAAAATAAGATGTACATGAGAGGTGGAAGGACTTGAAAGATGCAACTCCTTGTTTTCCACATTAGCAATAGTACCAGAGATGATCCATGAAGAAACTAACATCTGTGAGGAGAAAAATTTTGTTCAGCATCATTTCCTCTGCAATGATGTTAACCCATTTCAGTACTAATTTTGGTGGTGTGCCAGGGGTTAAATCTACCAAAATAAGCATTTTTGCAAAGAATGAAAGTATTCACATCCAAGGAATTTCGTTTATAAGTGATCAGAAAACTATTGAGAATCTACTATAGGTATTGAATGGAAAATGCATTAAAAAAATATAGAACAAATATGCATGTTCCAACATCTTATTGGGCGAGGAATATACCGATATTTGTACTGCATAACAGAGCATGAGAGCAGCTCTTGATTATGAAAGTTCAAGACATACTTTCTGCTCAATCTCAAGACCTTCTTGACTCATTTATAGAAACAGAAAAATTATGTATATGATAATTAATTGCTAATTAATAAGAAATTACTGAATTATTTGGAGGTATTATAAAAAGGAAATACTTCTAGGGAATGAAAATTTGGGACTTTAAACTCTTCATCTTTGTATGCCTGTTGTTTGCAGTTACCAACACATTGCTTCATGTCATCTGAAGTTCTTTGGTGAAGAAAAAAAACCATAAAAAGGCATTATGAACCAAATACCCTGAAATACCCATTACTTAATGAGGCTGCCAAAAAGGAAAACTAAATAAAATTCACTCTCATTGTAAAGGAGTTAAAAAATGGTGCCATTTCATGCAGGAAGATTCAGTCCACAAGAATGTTTCAGGTAATGTTCCTCTTTAGGCCCAGAACCACTTAGTCTAACATGAGGCTGCTAAAATGTCTAGCATGGCTATGTTAGCATTGGGAAATTCCTGCATGATGAAAGTGGAGGAAGGCAGGAATAAGAGAAAATCACATGAAGCCCAGAATGACAAGTAGGAATGACTCCTTTCATCAGTAAAACATACAAGATATGAGGTGGACTGCGTGAAACTGACTTTAGCCTAACAGAGCAATGGAGCATGAAAGCTCTATTAGGCTCAAGTCAGTTTCATTCAATCTGCCCATTAGAGGCCAAATTTGTGGTAATTATGGCAACAGGCTCACAACTATTGCCATGTCAAATATTAATTTACTGTCGGACAGCATTTAGCTAATATTAATTTGACTAGGATCATAAAAGTTCCATAAACTAAGTGAGAAAACACAGTCCTCATGAAGGAAGTGGAGTTTTTCAAGTTTGACTGCATCTTCCCTCATAACTGGTAAAACAGAAAGTTCTGTTGGTATGATTTCAGATGATCCAAGTATAACAACAAGTGGCAGTCCTCTAACAACTTGTCCGAGTTCCTCCGAAGTCCTTTGGAAGCCTTCGGGAAGTCACATGTGATCAGGTGCTCTCCAGTTACATGTCATGGACATCAGAATAAGTTAGGATATCCCTAATAATCACCTAACGTTGCATAGACATACTTTTACAAATTTGAAATTGGTTTCTCTGCAGTTTAGGTGAGGGAAGCTCAACTTGAACTCTGAACTATGAATTGAACTCTGTGTTGAATGCTTTGGCCTGGATTTCATTATGGCCCCACAATGGAACCGACCATGCTTAATCAGACCTTGGTTCAGTTAAGCAGTTTTCAAATGTATTTCTACCACCTTTAACTTTGGTTTAACAGTTCTTTCATGAGAAAAAATATATACCGGCCTACATATAAGCAAAATATAACATGTAACATCTGAAAAGTGGTACTAAACCACTTGCAAATTGCTTCAGGATCTCTTCTGCATCACGAATACCTTGCCTACTGAGCACATTGTACTTCTGTTAGTTCACACCTTCAAATATTTTGAGTTTTAAAAAACCGTTTTTATTCTCATCAAAGGATATAGAGGATTGTCAACGATAAGTTATCATATCCCATCCCAAGCCAAAAATACTGATCATGCTATGACTTTGCTCATCACGACAATTTCATACGCATAAGTTTAATGTGCTCAAATGTTAAGAGCTGGCGTAACGCTATTTCTTCTAGGCTAGCTGGAAAGACAAAGGCTTTCGATGCTAATAGAAACATTATTGACTTTCACGTGACCTTAAAACTGAGGAACTGGTTTTAGCTTGATTTTGACACACGATGCATTAGAATGGATCGACGAGAACTGTCCGCTTTACGCTGGCGACTTTCAGCAGTCGATAGGAATAAGTGGCACATGGAGATGCAAGCACCCCTCTCGCGCCTCATCATGCAACAGGGATGTCGAATTCTTCAATCCTACCATTAGGAACTCTTCGAAATGAGAATAAAACGGCGAATGAGCACGATTTGAAAATATCCCTTTGCCGTCCGTCCGTCACCAGACGAACATGAATAATACTCGAGAGATAGAGGAGTGAGGTTAGGCATGCAAGTCATGCACTGCATCACCGGCTTGGACGAGGATCACGTGGCGTTTGCTAATGATTAAAGCCAGAGCGTCAGTGGAGGGAGTGCACGTACCCCCACTTTTCAAGAAAAGAAGCCAAAAAGACAGGGAAAAAAAAAACATTTGAAATGCATGACATAACAGTATCCGCGAGTTCCGATGCCCCCTCCCCAAATTCCATCCACGCAACGCTCGTGCCAATTAGGCATGACAAATTCTGTATTCACTTTATTTTTCTACCATTTCCATCAGACACGTGACTTTAATTTTAATGACGTAGGGAAGAATTTGACGAGAAATAAAGTGAGATGTTCTTTCGTTTTGAAGCACCGTCGAGAAAGATCTGGATGACCTGAGTCACAGACGACCGCATGCCGCTGCGAAAGTTCCTCATCTGGTGGAGACGAGAACACCGCGATCCACATCCACAGATACCAATGTTTCCACAAATGATTTCAGAGATAAAACCGTAAACCGTATGATGTTCTCGCCGTCACCTTCACTCGCGTACTCTCCGAAGATAATGGAATGGTGTATGGAGTGCGGGGATCCTCTCGATAGTTTCCGAATCTCATATCTCGATGTGCCAAGAGAAGAAAAGGTGAGTATCGGGAATCCGGACTTCTGTACTCACCCGATTCACGCAGCTCAAAATTAACTTCGCGATACCGACGACGAGAAAAATCCGGTGAAAACGGGTGTTTTCGGCGGATTTTTCTCCTCGAAAGCCGAGACGGCCATCCATTCAATTTTCACGTCGTCCAACGATTCTTGTGCGGTTCCAAAGAAGGGCTTGCGGGGCTTGCCAAGAACGGGGAAATTCGTTTCTGCTCCATCGGGAATGCGTCGTCGCATCTTCGCGGAAGCGACGACGTGACGGACCCGTCTCCGTCGTCGCGAGAGGAAAACAAATTCCTGTTCGTCCCGGGAGTCACTCGCTCGGGATGAACGAGGAAACGGATACCGGAGGAGTAGAAACGGTGGGAAAAAGTGTATTGTGTCGGAAAACACCATATTTCTCTGTCCTTGCAACAAGCTCCTCAACCTCGGTTTAGAAGCACCTGGAATGCGAGGAAGGGGATCACCATTAACCAGTAAACTTCATCGAACTCGCCTTCAATACTGCGTCGAAGGGAAGTTCCTGTTGGGTTTTCCATCTTCCTCCATCCAGGGTCAGTGTCTCCTTCGAAAGGACAAGCTCGCTGTTTGAATTGGCTTCATTTTGATATTTCCCGCCGATGACTTGGAGTCCAGCCTTGTCACATCCCATCATCCCATGCCAATGTCTCTTTTTTCGTAAAGAGGGAAGTGGATCGACGGGCCCTTCCCCATTCGCACTGCATCTCCACACGTTATCCACAGATTCCGTCCCGTTATGTCCCCCCGAGATGTATATATGACCGTCGTAGAGGGTCGCTGCGTGACCAAGAACGGAAATGGGAATTTTAAGGGGAAATTTGGACCACTGGCCGCCTCGAACGTCCAAACACTCGCAGCTGGAGAGGTTCATCTCAGTTTCGGGGTTTCCCCCCCCCCAAGACGAGGATGGTGTTGGGGTCCAACATCAACGAAGCTGCTTCCTCTCTCCCCTGTGTCATCAGAGGGAGATTCGTCCATTTATTGCTGTCGAGATCGATGCTGCGTCCTTCGCGGGGATTTCTCTTCCCTCCCAAGAGAAAAATAGATTCCCGGATCCCCACCCCCGTCGTCCCTTTCACGATAAAATTATTGGGAATGCGGAGTTTGTAATCCCATTCGTGAGGAGACTCATGGGGATCCTTCCCATCCAGATGAAGAATCCGGACTTCCCCCCCTGCCCCGTGGATCAACATGCCGAAGTGGGCGAGGAAAAAGTCAGTTAGGGAGATCAGTTCCCCGACCCAGCAAGTGTTCTTGTTGACTTCCCACACCCCCCCTCTCCCGTCTCTACCACCCATGGCGAAAATCCTTGTTGCCCCTGCAAGGGAAAGGAAGTCCTCATCAAGAATCCTTCCAGGAATGGGGGATTCGAGTGGAAACGGAAGAACGAATGAAACTCTTTTTCTTTGATATTGTGACGGATGAGGATGGCATCGAGAGGCTCGACTGAATGTCCGGGGTTCGGTGGTGTAGTGGTAGCACACCTGACCGGCAATCAGGAGGGCCGGGTTCAATTCCCGGCCGTTCCTTGGCTTCTTTCGTCCTCTCATGCCTTCCATCGTCCGTCTCCCACTTTCCCCTCCGTAACAATATTTTCATTAGTTACGCGAGAGAAGAAGCGTTTCGGAAATGTTTTTCCTATTTCCGGTCGTCCCATGGAATCGCTTCGTCATTGCACCGTTTCCATTTCCGAATGGATTCGAGAGGGAAATCTCATTTCTTTTCTTACAAACGGTTTCTTCCACGTGCCGGTTTCCCTTGTTCCTCCATAGTTTCCCTCCACTCGTCTCTACATCGTCTCGAAGAAAAACGGTCTTTTCCTTTTCTTTCCGGATCCTTTCTCTGTCCTCTCGACGTATTCATTCACCTCTTGAGCCAAAATGGGTTGGAAAAATGTTATATTCTAATACCGTACGACCTCCGATGACGATGGATGACACCGGGATGCCCCCCACACTTTCCTTACTTGATGCCGAGCGCCGACCCTTTCCCAGCCGTTTCCTTCAAATAAAGTAATTCCCCTCTTATCCCTTTTGCATGAGATACGGGAAGATGAAGAGATTCTCATCTTCTCACTCCGTGTGAACAAGAATAACAGGAACAACCGGGAAAGGAATTTGGAATTCGTACTGGTGTGTGTGATCCGAGGGGATTCCTCCTTTTCCCTTCTTACTAAAATTCCAGAAAAAGGTGATAGAAAGGGGATAAGAATTAGAACGGAATGCCTCCCCCTCCCCGCCCCTAACCGCAATTTCTGCCGTCGTCAGTCTACCCCGTTTCGTTGCGCGAGGCATCCGTGTTCTACTCCGATGAGTCATCCATGCTTTCCATCCAAAAAGAAAAAGTCCCTTCACGAGTGGATTCCTTGTGGTGAAAGATGTCCTTTCTCGGGGATTCCCCTCCCGTGCATGCATGGCTCTGTCGTTTTCTGAGGAAGGAGGTAATGAGAGGCGTGACGCAAGGACACGACCGTCAGGAAATGTCAATTTCTCGTTTGTCTCCATCCCGAGAGGGCAATCGCAAAGATGCCAACGATGAAGGTTCGGATTTCGTGGGCTGGAGATCTATCAGACGCGGTGGACGCGAAAGTGGAGACTCGGGAGTCTCGTCTCCCTCCGTGCCCACGAAAAACTCAATGTAGGGAATTCAGAGAGATGGAGAGAGCGAGAGAAAGCGAGAGAGAACAAGAGAAAATGGGAATGAAAAGGGAAGGAAGAGGCGGCATCTGGAGTGCTGAAGCGGTGGTTCGGACTCCGATGTTCATTCACTTCAACAACAAAAAATTATTGGGACTGGCTTAACCGAGTAACGGAAATGTCGCATTTTGAACACAGTAGCTCGAACGGGTATGAAGAAATGCTGGTACTATGTTAGCCCCGGAAAGATAGTGACCCGAGGGTAAAACAGTCGGGAAACCGTGTTTCCACTCCAATTGAAGCCGGTATCAAGCTGAAAACTTCATGAAAAATGAAACCAAGAGAAAACTACACCAAAGTTAAATTAGGAGAATGATGAAGACATCATTTTACGAAAACTTCCAAGAATGTGAATTTAATTGGAAGATGAGCTTTCTGACGTGGTAATTCTCTACTGGAGAAGAGAAAAGTAAAAAGGCGAAATGCATCTTCATACTGAATGTCATCAACTGTGGATCAGAAATTAAAAGTCATGGTTACTAATTAATTTTTAATCGAGACCAATTGTTTACGTCTCCTTTTCACAACGAGATACAAACTTGAAACAAGTGTGAAACGTAAGGTTTCCTCGACCAGTTTTCATATTGAATTCACTCCAGCTGCTTAATTGAGCTTTTATGTTGGTTCTTTCTTAAGTAACCGCGAATATGCTTTTAGAAATTCGAATGCCATTGGGAATGTCAGCTGGTAATAGAATGAGGTGTGCACGGATTTCTACAGCAAATCAATAATACATCAAATTCTTTTTAAAAACATTTTTTGACGAATTAAAGCAATTACTAAAATTCTTAACTTTTTCCGATCGATTCTACTGATTGAAAGAAAGTACAGCTGCATTGATTTATCGAAGGAAATTTTTTGCACAACCGTCAACCGATAATCTGTCGACATTTTCATGAATATCTGAAATGGCCGAACGGTCGCCCGCTTGATTTATTTTTCCTTGTCCATTAAAAAGCGGTGCGTCCTCGAGGCCTCGCTCGCGCCTCGTCCCCTTCCCGGAGACAGACAACGAAAGTCCAACGAGAAGTATGCCTCAAAAAATGGAGACTGAGCTCATGTGCCGCGTGATGCCGCTTAAGCTCGGAGGATGAGGGCCTCCTCGTCAGGGATGACTCAACCGACCACGGCGATTCACCGATGCGGCGAACTCCACCGCTCCGTCCGTCATCGCCTCGCTCGAGGCGGTCCTCCCGCGCCCCGGCCGTGCACGGTTTGTCCGTCGATTACGACGAAACGGGAGCCGAACGAGACGACCCGGACCAGGAAACGTGGAGGCCGCAACGAACCTATTCAATTTGCGACTCGTGGTGAAAAAGTGAGTGGTCTTTCGTTTAAGGAACTCCATCGGTGATGAAAAGAAATTGCCACGGTCAGTATCTTTCGGTGATTTCACCGGAATGCCCGCGCTGGAGCAAAGGGAAAAGAAGAAAGCCTGAAGATCGTTCACCAAGACCCTCGAGCTTTTGTAAAAGATGCACGCACAAATATCTGCATCAAGTAATTGCCGTATGTAGGTACATTTGCTGCAAAAGCTCGAGATTCTCGGTGAACGATTTTCAAATCTTCATCTTTACCCTTTGCAATCCTCGCAGTTCGCAAAAGGAAACGCGAAACGTGAGCAACTTCCGACAAGGAATTTTCATCGTGATGAAATTTTGCCTTCTTTACATCGAGTGTGAACCGTACCTTCATTTTCCCTGGATTCATTTTTCACTCGGGAATTTTTACATATCATCAATAGTAATCATAAACAGGAAGTACTATACATAAGTGTTCAACTACTTGGATGACTCATTGGATTCCATATGAAGGTGAAGTCGCATGGATTATCTCCTTTCATGAGTGGAGACAACCAATTTTACTTTCCTGGATTGTGATTCACATCGACAGAAAGGAGAAATCTCCTCCCATCCTCCACAGTTTAAGGAGGATATGCCCTGACCTTTCAATGACGCGTGCGTGCTCGACCTTTTCTTCATCGATCCGTTCCTCCTAAAATTTCAAGTGGAAATGATGGCGAGAGGGAGACTAACTACAGGTTTGGAATTACCTTCTGGAGAAGAAGTCTCTCTCCTTGCATCTTCATCCGTTCCCGTTTCCTTTGGGATCTGCAGAGAGGAACGCATGTTAACGCACGTTAGAGTAACTCAAATTCGTGTTTTGATGGAAGACAAACGAATAATAGACACGAGAGGTCTGGGAACGAGGAGAACGATCACCACGAGACTCGAAATCGTACCTTTAGAAAGAGGCTTTTTTCATTCAATGCCCTCCAGTCGTTATCGGAGAGGGATTCAAGGGCATCGGAAGACGTTAAAGGGCGATGAAGGAGTTTTCCTCTTCTTTCCATCTCCATCCAGAGTCCCATCCGACTCTTTGCTGCAGGAGAAGTTCCCCCGTCGACGATGTAGAGAGTCTGGATGGCTCGGGAGATCCCCTCCACCATCCATGCGTCCTCGACCCCCACGCACATCACGCCGGAGGTCTCGCATCCTCGGTAATCCTCCACTCGATAGATCTGTGGTGCTTCCCTGGCCGTCGACTCATCCTTCGAGCCCATCATTCCGAAAGCTTCCGTGAAGATTCCCCGAATCTCTTCGTCCGAGACGAGCACCACAACATTTTCCTTTTGAAAAGAATCACAGTCTGCTCGAAGGAGGAATCACTTTTCCCAAAATTCTTTGCCCATCGTCGATTCGTATCAACTGAATGGCACTTGTGGCATTCTACTAGTCACAGATAATTTAAAATCCAGACGTATTTCAGCGATATGAGAGAAATTCCTCACGAACATAATGAAATTGAATCTGGAATTCGGTTCAGTTCTTCAAGGGCCCATCGTGATTCGTGAGACAGAAAACTCGTGAAATGCCTTGATGCACTGGACAAATGGGGGTGATAATGCGCGCTATGAAGAAGAAACTCATGAGTTAATCCCTAAAATGTGGTATAGGTGTTGTTAATGTCTTCTGGGAATATCGAGTGAAGTTTTAAAGCCATAGCTCGAGGCTTGGATGTCTCCCGTCGTTTGGACAGCTACACGTGCCGAGACTCACTTCCCGGGATCGAGAGGCTTATCCTCGGCGCAGTTTCACGAGATAGTTAAAGAAAAGACGGGTGGAACATACGTGAGATTGGGAGTGAAATGCGGCAGCGGCGGTGATGGCGATGCATCCTCTCCCCCGGCCACCGATGCATTTGAATCCACCATGGAAGTGCGGGGTGGAGGGGTGAGGAGGGGTGACGAGGGTGGGTGGAACACCGAAAACGAGGGAAGAAGGCTGGGGTCGGGTGTTCAGGGTCCTTTGCTTCACCGGAAGACGATAGAGGGATTCGTTGTCGCAGACATGACGGAAGAGGCGGTGGAAGCCCACATCCCAGCATCCCTCCAGAATCCTCACGTCTGTTGGACGGGAAAAGGGAAAGGCACGAGGAGCCAACCAAGGCAAATTCGAATAACTTGCTAACTGAGGTTATCGATGCTCCGATCGTAATGATGTCGAAGAAAAAGGTAACGGGGCATTTCGTATTTGGGACGACTCACAGCCGCAAATAACTCGTATTCGTATCCGCGAATTTTCGGCAGAACAGCATGGGAAAAGTGACGAGGCATTTCAGTTGGTAATCGATTCTCATGAACTGTTTCAATGTAGCGCTCCACTTAATCGGCAGATGGCGCGGCAGTTGTCCGACGAGCCTCATCCACCATCACCATCCGCCATCCACCGATTTCATTAGGTTATTTGTAGGGGTTTCCGTTCGGTTTCATCCAACCGATGCAATATACATGAGGACATTTCATCAGCTCAGGATTTCATCTCTCGGAAAAATGATTATCTTTGCAGCACATTAATCTTCGCCTGTTTCGAAAAAAATAGAGTCTTAATACGTTTCAGAGCTAGGAATGAAGATGTGTTGCAGTGATTGGGGAGGAACATCCCTGAGAATTCGTCTTATTTTTAATTACTCTCATTTCCAGAGGGACTTCTTTCTTAAGTAGTTTCAGAAGGTGGAGGGCGTGAAAGAAGAATTCATTCATTTTTTTTTACTTTCCTGCGTAAATAGAGAATGAGACGTTTAAAGAGTGAGGACGAGTCATGGGGGCTCTTTCTCCCCCACGGTTTCGTCTTAGAGTCGAGATGGCTTTCATCGACTTTACTGCATGGAAAATCCCGTCGGCAGGAAAGAAACGCATTTTGATATGAAATGCGGAAAATGTGGAAGGTCGAGTGGGTTTGCGTCATGTGAAATCCCCTCGTTCTACTCCGGATCTCATTCCGGACTCGAGTCCAGGGATGAAGGAACCAAATTTAAATGAGAGTTCGGAATGAGATTCTCCGTTCCACGTCACCTTCATTTTCACATTTCCCACGTGACCCAATATTCTAGACAAATGGCTTTAATTTGTGGCGAGCTATAAAAGCAAGGATGAGGGCATGATGTAGACGAGAAAAAAGTTGCATGTTTTACGCATTCGCGATTCCTGGAAGAATCACACATATTCAACTTGTGGCGCGAAATGTAGAGGGATCCCTCTCGGTCTCTCTCACTCTCTTCCCCCCCACTTGCCCCCGAATTTCCCATAATTCTCATCTCTTCGTGTAACGGAAATTCCAGGTTTAATTCCAAACGTGAAAGTGATTTCATTTTAATTGCTCTGCTCGATGAAAGAGAAATGAAGAACGGTATGACTTCGTGACCCCGTTTGGAAAAGAAGAGTTTGAGACTCGGCACACACTGCTTCACCCAGATCATCCAAATCGTGCGGGCGTTCCACCTAAATTAAAAAATTAACAGGAAAAATCCACGAAGGACACATTTCAAACCCTATGCAGCATCTCACCTTCGTAAAACGAGGGCGGGAGAGAGACGAGAGGGAGTGAGAACCCCCAAGAATACGTCAAATACATAATGAGGGACTGAAAGGTCTGCCAAGGGAATGGTCCGCGAACACGTAAAACAGGACACGATTGAGTAATATACGCAATGGAGGAATCCTTGAATGAGGTGAAAAACTCGGAGGCGTCGACCGAAAACGTCTAAACTTCATTTCGAAGCGTATCATTCATTCGGACCACGCAGAGAAGAAGAAATGAAAAGCGGGACTGGAAAGAACTGAAAAAAAAGGCTCCTTAAAGTAGCTTCGTTCCTCGAAGCGATTCCGAGGCATCCGAGGAACAACACGGTTACCCAAGAAAACATCCACACTTCCTCTTCCCATTTGTGCAGGAATACCCGTTTCCACATTTTAAAGGTCCACTTACTTGCCGGTGTCTACCTCGGAGTGTTCCGAACGGACTCGGCAACGTTCGAGGCAAGGACATCCGAATTTCCCTTTCGCTTTAGCCGATACTCGTCTCGATCATTGCTCGTCAACATAAGCAGACTTCGTATTCCTCGTCGACCATTCGATACGGAAAAAAAAGGCTATTTTTTTTAACGGAGTGAACGCGACAAGGATCTGCTCTGGAAGCAAATGCAAAAACGCCGACTTGATTCACCCTCTCGGCGCTTTCTCTCCATTCCACCATATGTCTTGGAATAAACGTTCGGGAACCATGCGAGGGTGAACATCCGACAGCTAACGACAGCGATTCCAGTCGGTGGATTCCATCCGGATTTTCCACCTAGAGGTCGGACGTGGTACGTTCTCATGCCGTCCTCGTCTGACACGAATGCCCTTATCATTCCTTAATTTTGAGAACGCATTTGTCTCTTGAATGCGCTTCAAACCGTTCAACATGGAAGCAAGAGGAGGAAAACGACATTATTTTGTAGGGATCGTTGGATTCAAGACAATTTCGTCGTACGTTGATTTTACATGATACGGGAAGTAATGATCTTACTTGTTTGTGGAGGGAGTTGAAATTCCTTCTTGAACTTTCTCACGTCGAAATTGGTCGTTTCATATGGGATATAGGGATTGAAGGCAATTGTGAGAGAAGAGAGAGAGGTGTAGGACGAGAATAAAGAGATGATCTCCTCCCATTCCACCCTCAAACTCTCCGTGTTTCCAGGTAAGGCAAATTCTCCAACGGGTAGATCGTCGAAGGCTACATGGAGTCTTTGTCCTTTATTCATGCCTTTCTCTAGCATCTTCACCAAAAGTTCTTTCATGACCTGGGGGTTAGGAGACACATTTCCTTGAAGGTGATGTTGTTGGATGAGGTCGTGGACGTCGTAGACCTCGACCAACTCCAACATTTCTCTCTTCTTCATTCTCTCTTTCACGTCCACCAGAGAGAGCCCAGGAAAATGGGAAATTATTTGCCATCTGCTGCAGTCCACGAAGATAATCCGATGCTTGCGCTCCCCACTTTCGTCTTCTTTGCGGTCTTCCGACGTTTTCCTCCTGGATGAAGTCTCCTCAGACTTCTGCAATTCCTCCTTTTCCTTTTCCACTCTTCTCATCAACCTCTCGAAAATAAATGCAGTTTTGCCAGATCGATTCGGTCCGAAGAGTAGCTCGAACTTGCATTCGTCATCGGGTAAACGGAAAGTCTTTTCTTCCGGGAAAGTGGTCCACGAAATCTCTGCATGAGAACTCTCGTCAAGTCGATCGGAAGAAAAACCGGAAGATGATGACCATTTGGGTTTTCTGAGAGAGCAGCAGGAGATGAGTCCCATTTGTGCAGGTTCTTCCCAGTGACCATAGGGGAATGGGTATATCGTGATCACGTGGAGAGACTCTCCGGCCATCCCCACCATACGAGACCAAGAGTGACAGACGTTCTTTCCAAGTTCCAAGAGAATGAGATTCTGGAATGACATCCCAATTATCTGACTTTCATAGAAGACGTGGAATCGGGCTTGGGGGTGTCCTCGCAGTTTCCCTTTCTCGTCGTCGAGGAAGGCAATTTCTGGTCCCATTTCACTTTCGAGTTCGCGCACCCAGGCATTCCTTTCCTTTTCTGTCCCAGTGACGATGGTGAGGATTCGGGGATCCCGAATCCATGATTGAATAGCCTTGACAACCTCTCTTAAGGAAAGGTCTTTTTTAGTCGGATCAAGTGGGACGAAAACAACTCGAGGTATTTGCTTTTCTTCACCCGGATCACCACTGTGATTCGGTTTATATTCCAGGCCTTGCATCGGGAGGTAATGGTAGCACAGAAACCTCTTGTGCACGAATCGGGTCACTTCTATCACTAACTCCCCGATTTCTTTTGTGCTTCGTTTTATTTCCGTGAGTTCCACTTTTTCTCGCCCCAAGGAATCCACACCGCTTTGGATATCGAGGGTCCTGAAACCCTCGATATCCCCGCTTTCCTCGATATCGGGGTAAGTGGCATCACTGGGACGCCAACTGATCCAAAGGCTTTTACATTCTTTATTCTCAGCAAGGGCTTTCCATTTTCGTCCGATCTCCACCGGATCCCTTACGTCCGTGTCGAAGTTCACCAGCATTTCGTCGATGAGGACATGCCTGTCTTTTTTATCATTGATTTTCTCCAAAAGAAGGTCGATTCCTCGTCCATCAGCGCCAAGAAACCCGGAAGAATCCATGATTGTTATATTGTCCTTGAATTCATGGAACTCAGGCAAATCCAACCAGTCGGTCATTTTCCGAGTCAGCTCTCCCGCTGACATGTTTACGATGACGACCGTTTCCTCCATTTCTGCTAATTGTTGGGCTCTTCGGAGAAGCAGATAGGTCTTTCCCGTACCTTGCCCTCCGGCCAAGAAGAGAACAGACCGGTCATCATCCAAAATCTGTCTTTGTTGAGGTGTGAGAAGAACCAAGGCTCTTTTCATTCTTTCTTGGATGTTCTCGTGGAGATCTTCCATTGTTCTTGGCATACCCTCCACAGATGCCGAGGCTGCAACGTATGTACTCATCACATCCAAATAGCACTTTTTAGCTTCTTCAGTTGTTGTCTCCCGCCTCGTGAGAGTGATGCCATGTTTCTCGAGGAATCTCCTGAAGGCTTCTCGCGACTCCAGATCGTCTTTTGTGATAATTTTCCCATCGCAACAACACTTCATGGTAGCAGCAACGTCCGTCTTCGACATGCGTGGGAGAGCAACAAAGCCGCAGAGAAATGTATGAGTGAAAGCCGTTGCTCCTACGATTTGTTTAATAACCTGTTCACACTTCTTGAGTTGATCTTCAGCTTTCCCCAACTTACGATTCAGGACGTCCTGGTCATCTGTTCGTTTGATACTTTTCACCTCAAAGAAGAGGACAACGACTCGTTCACCATCGAACACGATCCCGCATACGTCATGGTCACCGTGCAAGATCGTGAATCCCTTTCGCTTCCAGCGTGTCTCTCCTTTTTTCGTATATTTTCCAGCGATCCCCATTGCTCTGTAGAACGTGATGTTGAAATCATAGTCATAGGTGATGAAACTAGGAGTATCGGCCAATTCTTCCTTCAAGAAGCGAAAAATCGTGGCAACAGCGGTGTAACGTGGAGGAATCCCTTTACTTTCGCCTTTTCTCATGGAGGGTCTCGCTTCCTCTACGTTTTTAATAGAATGTTCACGCCCTCGTTTGCCAGATTCTGCTTTTGCCACGATGGGAGCATTTGCACAGACACTGCCTTTCTCGAATGCATTTCCCTCCTCTTCTTTGAAGAGTCGCTCCTGAATTTTGCCTTTGAGGGCGTATTCAATGGGGTACGAGTGAGCCCGTCCCTCTGCTTCTGGATAATATTCTTTTTGATACCTCTTCGCAGCTTCACAGAAAGATAGTTCCTCGTATCCAGCAAGGCGAACCCTCATTTTCTCTCTTGGGTCTTCCCCTTCCAGCTTCTTCAATGGTTTCAGCTCGGCCAGCTTCTCCATATCCTCGCAATTGTGCACCTGCTGAATAGAAGGTATCTCTTCTAAGTATTCTTCTTCTTCTCTACGAGATAGTTTGAGAGTAAGCGTACCTTTTGCCGCTCTGCATCCTGGAGTGGTTCATCTTGTCCTTTTCCCCGTTTCCTCTCCATCCTGTAGAATCGGAATGGAACCATGACTGGCAGACTGACAGGAGTAACATGATACATCGATCACGAGAATCATGTCACGATTAAATCGCCATTTAAAGTATTTTCGGAATTGTATTTCTCCTTTTCATATGGTAGCTTCTCGTCCATCGGTGGAGAGGACAATAGATGTGGAATTGAAATTATATTTGGTCTTAAAAAAAATTTTCTCTTAAAAATATTTTGAAATTATACAGTATCAATATGTTACAGCTTTGTAGGACCTTTTCAGAAGTCTAACTTTTGCAGTTTCTCTAGTCCGTTCATAGGCATTTTGGTGCCCAGGGCAAGGAACCAATTTTGCAGTCCCACCCTCTTCCCAAAGCAAGAACTGCGGCACGAAGCACCACCGCAATTCCGACGATTATAGCTTGATCCCTGGAAGCTGACAGGGAGCCGGAACTGATGGAAATCATTTTGTTGCATTTGTACAAGATCCAAGTCGATGCAATTTCTACCAAAATTGATATGACCTAATCACACGATAAACAATGTAATTTAAAACTCTTTTGATGTGAGGGTTTAGCTCCATGGCTCAGTCCAGGCAAACAGATTCAATTTTTTACTTTGATGGATCCCGATACCAGTGGCGTGCCCAAGGGGGTCGGGTTTGGGGGTCATAACCCAATCCCAACCATTGGGATACATTCAACAGGTTATCGATTCTCAAAATTTTTTTTTTAATTTAGCCATGAATGCAGTGTAGGTTATCAATTTCTCATGTCAACCCCCTCCTCCCTTTGCGATTTTCTGGGCACGCTACTGACCAATACACAGTATATTATGACATTGATTTGAAAATCCCATTCAGTAAAATAAAAAATCACAATGTAGTCTAGGTCCGAGCTGCCCTCCAGTACCAAAAGGAATACCTATTGCCGGGCAATTCTAGGCTAGAATAATTTCATGAGAAGTTGAAAAGGTTTCCAGGGAGAAAGAAGCAAAGTCTGCATGAGGAGGGTTATAGCTTCTACCTGGCAATAGCCCATTTGACAGGTAGGAAGACTTTTCAATTACTAGTGGTGGACATTAGTGAAGGGATGCAACTCCCCCTGCGCTACTGATCCGATCTCACCCTGAGCTACTTCTCGTTCTTATCAACTCTCAAGTCTCAGCTGGTAGGGAAGCGCCATAAAATTCACAACGATCTGGAAGGTGATATGTTCCAGTGCTCGAACCGCACCCAGATAGGACTATTAAAAATTCATTGTTTAAATTAATTTATGAAATTCCACATAGTGATAGAGCAGGAGTAGGTCAAATAAGTAGTGCGACAGTCACATATTCATATTATACGCGAAAAATGAATGAGGAAGCAATACTTATTGAACGCCCATCACGTGTCTCTATTATTTAAATCATTTACTTCTTAAAGAAAACGAACCATTTCAGAAGTCTGCGATTTCCGTTGAGGAAAAATATATTGAAATTGACAATATAACCATATCCAGGAAATAATTAGGCAAAAGTCGAATAAATTGTGAGAGTATATACAGAATATTCATTTTACAGACTTCATCCCAATAAAAATCTCATTAAAAAATTAGTTTCTTCAACCACACTCAACGTACCTCGTGTAGGGGAGTGATACAAGAGAAGGAAATATATATCTGCTGAGTGAATAGTAGAGGGGGGAGACCAGAGGCCGAAAAGCTATACACTGTTCCACTGTCAGGCATTTTAAACCCATTCACTGCCAGTCGGTTTTGGAAGGTAACTTTCTCCCTGCACCTGCCGTTTTTCTATTCGGAGTCTCTTATCAAGTTGCTGCGCAAAAAGTACTACATCTCGTAAGGTGCCGAAGCAAAATAGAATGAAATTTTCAACATACTTTTAGTAATGCTTCATTGTTTAATAGTTTCACTGCATTCGAGCCCTACCTATTCGAGTTATTGCCAATTAAGTCGAAGGAGACGAGAATGCCTGTATCGACGTCTTTGACTGCGAATGCGTTAACATCGGCTGTGTTGACAGTAAATCCCGAATCAATTTTTACTCACCTTAGTTATGTTACTGAAGGATGTTGATGCTGAATGGAATGTGTGTCCGGGTCACTTGCTTCTTCACGCGTCGCCACCACTCGATCGTTTCAAGGACTCACGACCTGAATTGCCAATAATAATAATAAAAAACGCTGATTCTGGTAATGGAACTGCCTCGCATAACAAGTCTTCGTGTACAACAGCACCTTCGACGGTCTAGGAGTGGTTCGACACTCGAATAGTAAACTCTGTTTCTGGTTTATGAGTGTCAGTGAATCCCAGAAGCAGTCAGGATCGAATCGAAAGTCGAATCGATATGATCCACCCCTCAATCGTGAAAAACGATGTGTTCATTCACTAATGGATTCTCCACCTGTATGGCAAAGAAATGTCCGTGGGGAAGGGGACTTTCCCCTCTAGAGTGGTAGAGATTTCATCGAAGTGTAAAATATTGCAATCTCACCTGGCTTCATTTACAAATAAGTGCCTGATTGAAATCCTATGAAACCGATACGATCTTGAGTCAAGGTCTAAGAACTTCGAGAACTGTCGCACAAACTAGCCAACGATGAGGCGATTCTCTCCCGTGTAGAGAATGATATATACAATCTAATCAGGAGAATGAGAGATTTCCCCCACGTATGTGAAGGTATAGCTAATCTGAAGCAGATATTTACGGAGTTCGAGATGAGGGAGCCGATAACGGGAAACGGTTGGAAAGTCCCTGAGAGGGAAAAAGTTTCTCTCTGGATGAAGCAATAGAGGCGAACCAGACAGATCCCAAGCAGCACCCAAGCAGCATGTTTACGCAAACAAGATATCAATTCATTGCAAACAATGTAAATTTATTGCGATTGCCATGAAAATGACATCACGTTTACGTAAAATTTACGATCTTATATTTACGTCACCAAAGTGTACGTGTATTTTACATAAACTAGACGTCACTCCATCTGATGTGAAGTACATGATATCAAGTTTATGAAAAATTAAAACCACACCATCCATATGAACTTTAGCTAACCATCCTGCTGCTGCAGTACCAAGTGGTTCAGGTACATTTCGTTTACCTAATACTCGTTGTTGACAATCTGATTAATTGCTGGTTGACATCTTTGCAGACCATGGTGTCCGTCAAGAGGATCAATAAGTTCATGAATGCT